AAAAACAAACAAACAAACTTTATTACTCATAGCAAGAGCAGTAGCCAGTATCAGCCTGAAGCTCATTCCAGATCCCTGGCCCTCCTAAGTCCCATAGACATAAGTAATATCCATCATGGATGCTATATTAGTTTGCTAAGGCTACCATAACAAGATTGTAAATTGGGTGGCTTAAACAACAGAAATGTGGTTTTTTTTTTCAGTAACAGATGCTAAAAATCTAAGATCAAGTTGTTGGCAGGGTTGATTTCTTCTAAAGGCCAGGATGGAAGAATCTGTTCCATGCCTCTCTCTGTGGCTTGATCTTCTCTCTGTCTTTGCTTCGTCTTCCCTCTGTGTCCACACCCAAATTTCCTCTTCTTATAGGGTCACCAGTCAGATTAGCGGTTTCCCTAAGGACCTCATTTTGACTTAATCACCTCTTTAAAGACTTTGTTCCAAACATGATCTCATACTGAGATGCTAGGGGTTAGGACTTCAACATAGAAATTTTGAGGGTAAACTGTTCAGCCCATAGTAGAAGCTTACATGTGTAGTGAGGTGCACTGCAAGAGAGGAACACTGGAATTAGGAGATTCATCATGGAGACAAGCCTGCTGTGGTCCAGGGGTGCTTTACCCTACTCAGCAAGTCTATTTCCTGCAAATACGATCCTGAGAAAGGGCATGGAAAAAGAGTGGTCTGGACCTTTCATTCTTAGTATTCTCAACAAGAATGAACAGTGATGCTCAGGACCATCTAGGCTGCCTCACCCAAAAGTAATACAATCAAAATATTTATTAAGTAACAGCTATATTATCCCACAGTTATCTATGTAGAAGAAGAACCTGGGCCATATCTCTTTTTCCAGTTTGCAATATCTTTAATAGCAATCATGGGATGAATTTAGAGTTTAGTTAAGTGTTATACTGTCTGTTATTTTTGTTTTGTTTTGAAGTGCTGGGGATCCAATCCAGGGGTTCGCTCATGATAGACAAGCTCTCTACCATCAGGCTATACCCCAGGCTCTCTTTGCTGTTGTCACATTATGGGAAATATTTTTTAACTTAAAGAGATGATTCCTTTACTACTTTATAGTTCTTTATTTCAAAAAGAACTCAAACATTTTCAGAGGAACTGAATTAAAAATAATTATTATTTATTCCAACAGATGGAATTGTCACTTATATATGTTATAATTTTGCTTCTGAACATGTTTGAATTTTCATCAGGAATAGTATACAATAAAGGTAAGTGTCAGATTCTATTATCCTTTATCTCCTTCTGAGAAGTTCTCATTTATATCCCTTCTCCATTTGTAATTAAAATGTTTTTCTTTTAGTATTTCCTCTTTACCTGATCTTCTAATCGTTTCCAGCCATTATCTATGTTACTGTGGTCTAGATGTTTCTAATAACATCATTGTGAACTATTGTTACTAAATTGTGTACATGAAGACTTTTCTCTTACTATAGTATTTCATCATTTATAAGTCATAGAATATTTAACATTTAAAGAGAATTTTACATTTGTAAAATTTTAGCTACTCAAACATTTTAGAATTCTTTTCTCCATGAATGGTTGTAGGTAATATGAACTGGCTACTATACTGATATTGAGAAGAATTTTCTGAAGATAATACACAGATTGACTTAATTTACAGGACTTTTATGGCAGAAAAACTTTGTAAAAGAACAAGAAGAAATAAGATAAATCTACTTTAATTTGTGCAATATTTTTTAATTCTCTGCAACATCCTGCTATAGGTCCTGGAATGTAAGAGGTGCTCCATAGGCCATTGTTGACTAAATGGATGGATAGAAAGATTCAGATTTTTTCCTATTCACAGATGTGTTGCAGAACTGAAAGAGTTCTGGGATGACCCTAGTTTGAATTCCCATAATGTGCTAGAGAATAGAACACATACATGCATGTGACCCAAGATGGAACAGCCACAGAGATATTTCAGAGAAGGAAGTGGTTACTTTCAGCTGTGGGAAAGGGGGTTGTCAAGGAAGACTTTGTACAAAAGAGGGAAATCTATCAACGTCCTTAAAATGGGTAATATTTGGATATAAACCTATGGGGAAGAGTATTCTCCAAAGACATGAGAGTATGTGGTAAACAATGTTACAAAGGTAGGAGGCCCCATTATATGGGGAGGGAGCAGTAAATACTTCCATTTGACTAGAAAGAGGGATAGAAGTAAACTATTCTGGAAAGACAATGGCTGGCATGCATCATAGAGGTGCTCAATGCCAGGCTAAGGAATTTGGGCTTTAATCTACAATCATTGGGAAGCTATTTAAGATTACTGGATTGGAGATATGGCATATCATAGCTATAGTTTAGATATTAGACAGCATAGAGGGGGAAAGATTTTCTCTGCCCTGTAAGGTTCTGTTACTGGGGTCTATGAGTTGAACTAGCAAAAGACAGATTAACAGGAGGAAAAGCATACAAATTTTGTTTCTGTTAATCTTCTTTATATGGTATGGAGGACTTCATAGAAAGAAGTGAGAACCTAAAGAAGCAGTTAGACCCAGGGGCCTATATACCAGTTCAACAAAGAGCAATAAATTCGAGAGATATGACAAGACAAAGGAAAAAAAAGTTTGGACTGGGGTGGTAATGTGGGAAGTTACTGGGAAATATAGGGGGAAATAATAGAAGATAATGATTTTAGTTAAGTTTGTTTGCATAGACTCATCTCAGTGGTAGGAAATGTACAGGTTGGCACATTACTCCTGGTAAATTTATGTCCTGGTTTTAGGTACAAAGCAAGGCTCATTGTTTCTCAATTGTCTTCAGCATGAAATAACCAATATGCCAAAGTGGCTTATGTTGGAGGCAGTATTTTCTTATGCTCTACAGCAGCAATATGTAAATGGATTGGTGGAGAGAGATGGGTGACGTTTTGCTGCTTCAAATGACAT